GTGTGTGTGTGTGTGTGAGAGAGCGTGTGTGAGAGTGTGTGTGAGTGTGAGTGTGTGTGTGTGTGTGTGTGTGTGTGTGTGTGTGTGTGTGAGAGAGTGTGAGTGACTACATAACCTATGCTGATGCAATTAATAGTTTGTTTTTCAAAAGTCCAGTATTGCTGTCACATCATATGTTGTGTTTTGGATGCTGATATACTAGTCTTTACTGTCTTAACCAGGTAAATCAGAAAGATCTTGTTGACCAAATCTCATGTGTATTCACTAGTTAGACTGGCTCTAACCAGCATAAACCATGATGGAAATCCATGTTTTGTGTTAATGCACACATTAAACTCACTGAACGTAAAGATCCTGAACCTGAAGGCCCGTTTTGTCCCACTGGAAAACTGCTTGCGTCCCGTACGGAGAAAGATTCCCGTCCCTCGTGTTCTCAGCAGTGCTCAGAGGCGGCTCTCCTCCATATCGACGTGGGTGTTTTGTTCGGGGTCGATAATCTATAATTAGAGCTGTAGTCTTGTCATCTAATCCACTGGACAGAGGCTGTTTGCAGGACCGGAGAAAAATCACTAAGATTACAGAGCAAATAGAGACTTCTGAGAAAATGAGCCCAAGTAAAGATCTTCAATCTTCTGGGCATATGTCAGAGTTTTATTTCTCTCCCGCGGAATAACAATAAAGCAAAAAGCCATGACAGAAAGGCCTTGTTTTACATTGATTTTATCATGTTTAGTGTGTGCTCTCAGGCATGACATGAAGTTATTAATAACTAGAAAATGTGTGATGTGGATGTTGGGGGCATTGCTGTGTGTTGCTAAGATGAACTGGGTGGTTGCTAGGTCATTGCTAGGTATAGTTCTGTGTGACTATAAGTAGTTTCTTACTGTCTCTTTGATGTTCTGGTTGTCTAGTCAGTGTTTAATGTGTATATGTGACTCTGGAGCACAAAAGCAGTGTTAAGTCGCTGGGGGATATTTGTAGCAATAGCCAACAATACATTGTATGGGTCACAATTATACATTTCTCTTTTATGCCAAAAATCATTAGGATATTAAGTAAAGATCATGTTCCATGAAGATATTTAGTAAATGTCCTACCGTAAATATATCAAAACTTAATGTTTGATTAGTAATATGCATTGCTAAGAACTTCATTTGAACAACTTTAAAGATGATTTTCTCAATATTTAGATTTTTTTGCTTTATATATAATTTTTTATTATTATTGTATTTAGTTTTCATGGTTTTAGTTAACAATAACCCTGATTCTAGTTAATGCACATCTAACACCTGCAGTAGTCTTCATGGACAAACACCTTTGATATGATCCCTACACTGAAAAGTTTGCCTGGCAACAAAGACAGAGAAAAGAGATTTAATTCCCACACAAACGCTCTGATTGGCTGTTCCATTGAATGTCCCAAAACCCCGTCTCTCGTCTTCCCCTCTGTTGTGTTCCTCTGTATCTGCGTGTGTTAGTGCTTGCTTGTGCTTGTTCTTTTCATCTAATCACCAGCTAATTAATCCTCGTTAAACACAGAACAGTCCAAGCTCATGTTCCGACCTTGATATTCATTAGGAGAAAATGCTGACAAAGATGTTTGTGAGTGTGAAAATAGAGCTAAAGAGGTAGAAAACTCTGAGTCGACGAGCTTTAGCTTTGCACACGTGGCCAGCAGAGCGTTATATTTAGTCCGCTTGTATATTAAGTCCAATTACACTTTACATGCCCGCTGGGAAGGATTACTGCGCCGTGTCCATCCACAGACTCTTTCTCCTGCTCTTTACTGACTGAAATTATGTTGCTGTGTTGCTAATCATTTATCAGTGCAGTGTCATCACTATCAATCACTGTTACTAAACCTGTGTGAATATTACTTTTAACTTTCCATGAACCATAACACGACCTCGCAGAGAAAATGAGATTCTTCTATTATCATGATGTTAAAGTGAAGAACAAGTGAGCCTGTACTAGAGAAAGATTTTCTAACCTAAATACTTATAATGCATGAAAATAATACATGGAAGTCAAATTAATCATTTTGCTACAATATTACTTTTTCCATATGTAATATATATGTGTTACGGGGCTGACGAGACGTGAGACGTACGGATCCATCTGCAAGGCTTTATTGTGGAGAAGACAGAGACGTGGTCATGAAGCAGGCAGGGTCAAACAGAGGCAGACAGGTATATGGTGGGCAAGACACAAGAACAGTCCTAGGGCTAGCGTGGGTCGACGATGGGCAGACAGAGTCAGAAGGGGCAAGACTAAGGGAGAAATCCAGGAAACCAGGCGAAGATCAGAAACCGGGAAAACAGCTAGGCTAGGGCTAAGGCTAAGGCTAATGACTAGGGCTAAGGCTAAGGCAAATGACTAGGGCTAAGGCAAATGACTAGGGCTAAGGCTAATGACTAAGGCCCGTAAGGTAGCTATCTCTAGGAGAGTGATAAACGCTGAAACAATACTCGGCAGAGGGAAGGGATCAGAGTGAGTGTTAAATAGTGAGGGAGTGATATGAAACAGCTGGGTGCAATCAGTGTAAACAGGTGTGTGCAATTCGTGCTGAGTGCAATCAGTGCAATGCATGATGGGAAATGTAGGCCGGGGTGATTTGCAACAGTGTGTAGTGCGAGAGTCAATGAATAGGAAAGTTCGTGGACCGGATTCGTGACAGAATGCATTAACAATCTTTTAAAATGTAATTAAATAAAGTTCCTTTTGGCAAAGTGCAACTAGAGTTTCAATTACTATTTAAAATATTGATGAAAATTGTGATATTCTTTAAAAATAATGTTTTAATAAACTGTATTATTATTACTGTTATAAGCATTACATTCTGCTTTACAATAGTAATATAATCTGTAACAATTTCTTCAAGTTAAGCCAAACTTCTATTTTGGTGGTTTGTCAAGAAGTTATTCATAAAGAAGCTTCTTGAGCTTACTTTTTATGTTACAGAACTGACGAGACGTGAGACGTGCGGATCCATCTGCAAGGCTTTATTGTGGAGAAGACAGAGACGTGGTCATGAAGCAGGCAGGGTCAAACAGAGGCAGACAGGTATATGGTGGGCAAGACACAAGAACAGTCCTAGGGCTAGCGTGGGTCGACGATGGGCAGACAGAGTCAGAAGGGGCAAGACTAAGAGAGAAATCCAGGAAACCAGGCGAAGATCAGAAACCAGGAAAACAGCTAGGCTAGGGCTA